CTTCCGCGCTTTATCAAAAGCAGAAATCTCTTGAATAGTCTATACCATCCAGCACACAAAACCATGCCATGGGTATCCATTAAGAAGTAATCTTTTTAATCCTATCATTCTTAATTTTCAAGAAAGACTTCCTTAATGTGCACAAGTTCCTTACTTAACCCATTTTTGTCAGTTTACACTTACTGAGCCAGATGGTGCATGCATTTTTCCTCCCTACTTAAATAGTACTGTTTTTTTCTGCTTTTCTATAGCTTTGCCCAAGGCATTAATGCGATTTCTACAATCAACTGCACTGATCTAGTCTATATCGACTTTGAGTTGAGTATCTCCTGGATTTCATTGGATCTCTGTAGAGGAAGAGGACCTGATACTTATATTGTTACTTAATTCTCTGGTCGTAAACCCTGGTATTATATACAGTATATGCCTCATTTTCTACATACAGCTTATTACACTACCAATGGATGCAGCCACAGGGTATCGACCTGTCCCTTAATCCACTGGAAATGCTGGTCTGAAAATAACCTCCTTCTTTAGTCAACAGTGGCACCCTAGGAAGGATGCTGATGCTGATGATCATTTCAGCATATATCCAATGTTTCTATCCCTAGGGCACTCAAGATGGATAACAGTAAAAAATAAGAAATAAAACAGTAAAAATCCATTAAAAAGAAAAGAGTTGACATAATTAGTAAGTGAACTCAAAAGGCCTCACTGCAGAGGAATGTTTGGACTGCTTTCCTGAAGGCAGTAAGAGTTAGGACTAAGAGCAGTTCTTGAAAGCATGCATTTCATAGCTTAGGAGAAAAGCAGAAGGCACTGCAGATGATGTCTGATCACCTGAAATCACGGGCATCCTTAAGAAAGTCTCTGCTGATGACCTTAATACCACCATATTAACTGTTTCATATCGACACGGCCTCACAGCCCGGAAGACCCACACCAGCCATTAAATACTTGGCATTTAATTATTAAAATGTAATTAATTTCATTGAAATTCAATTAAAGCAAGTATAATTTTGGTTCTGGCCCACCTTCTTTAGGAAATGTGGTTCCTGGCATAGGAACAAAACATATCAATCCCCAGTGTGAAAAATTGCACATCTGATGTATAGCCTTCCGCGCTTTATCAAAAGCAGAAATCTCTTGAATAGTCTATACCATCCAGCACACAAAACCAAGCTGTTCAGGGCTTTGAAGTTTAAAAGTAATGCCTTGAATTATGCGCAGAATGCAGCTGGGAACTGGACATACTGTATGATGTCTATATTTTAAGATAGACAAAATATGATCTTGGTATCATGAGTTGGTGAGCAGCTTAGCTGTTGAATCCTGCATCAACTAAAGCAGGATTTTTCAAACTGGGTTGTGTGGAACCCTTGGTTTCCATGAGAATTTGATGGGGATCCATAAGAAATGAATGGGAAAAAAAATCAAATCAAATAACCCTAATATATAAATTTGCATAAATAAATTACAACAAGCACAAGTTTTGTATTATTGCCAGTTTTATATCACTTGATCGGTTGTTCAGAGAACAAGTTCCATTGTGTGAAAAATGTTTGAAAATCCCAGAATTAAAGCATATAGATACTTTTCTAAGGTAGCCTCCAAGAGCACACTGAAGTAATCTTTTGGTTTTTCACTTTAAAAGATGTTGATGCAGTTAGACTTACCTTCTTCAACTATATCTATCCAGATTTTTATAAATTATACTGGAATGCAAACAACCAAGAAAGCCAAGTTTTTTTTTATTATGCTACTTACAATAGGAAGGTATTCCATATGGTTGTCCAGGTGGTGGGTATGCAGTATAAGCAGCAGTTTGTTGGATGCCTGCACTGTACTGAGTCTGCCCATAAGTAGCCATTGTTGCAAAGGATGGGACCGTTACTATATGGGGATAATGTCTAGTCAAAAAAGAGAAATATTTACATCAATGGATCAGTTTTGGCAATGACTATTGGATGATCTGAATAGTTAATGCATTTACTGAAAAGGAAAACTAGTTTTCCCCCTCAAATAATTTATCTTTAAAATGAAAGCATTTATATTTTCTGAAAAAATGATAACAGAGAGTGATTAAGGGTTTTTTCTTTTTTCTTTAATCTAAACTTTTATTTGGGGAGTTTAATAAAATAAATTCATTTTAAATTCCTGGTCACATTTCTTCTGGGTAAATATTTTATGTTTAGTATTATACTAAGGCCCACTTTTAAAGCACTAATTCAGAGTGTTTTCATCATCATTATCAAGCAAGGGACCTTGAATAGTTGTATTTAATCAAAGTTCTCCTTATCTGGATCTAATCTAGATCCAGCATCATGCAATGCATGGTTATGAAGTGCCATATTGATACACTGTTCACCCAAACGTTCATGAATCCAGAACTGAATTCCCGTAGAATCTTACAATGTCACACGTGATACCACAAATCCATTTTCCTTAGAGTAGTTCTTAAAGTGGATTGTGTTACAGCTTGAAAAAGAAAAGCTGCTTTGGACAGCAGGTGGCAGTGTGTAGGGATGGGGAATTATATACACATATGATGGTGCAGCCAACATTTTATGACATTTTGGGGTTTGGGTGGGTTAAGGGGCAAAATGACTTGTTAAATCTTCCAGAAGTTTAGTACACTGATTTAAGCCCTTATGTTGGCTGAAAAATTGTGCTCCTGGGAATTAGCTGTGTAACCTAGGGATGCTCTGGAGGCTGCAAAAATGGGCCTAGGGTTTGTAGGTGGCCTGTGGTTTGCACTTAAAAAAAAAAAAATGGAAACAAAGGAAATGAAAAATAAACTTTGAATTAACTTTTATCTGAATTAATGTACATACTTCAAAAAGATGAAAGACAGGTACCAATATGGGAAAGCTGACCAACTGCTGTACCTGTAATCAAGCAGTTATTTCATAAGTTTTTCAGACCTAGGCTGAGGTAAAGGTAGGAAGATGGGGAGCTAGGCTAAATCTTATTTGGGGTAGAAAACATTGTTTCAAGTCTTGTTTTTAAAGGGCATTTTGTGGGCCTGGTATTTTCCATCTGAAAATGCAAGAACAACATACACAGGACTAAACGAAAACAAATAATCTTTGGGTCATCCCAAAATCTTTTTCTGGTTTTTTATGACTTTTTTATATATTATTGTTCTTAAGAAAAATCCTGCTCTTAAAATTCGGAACAAGACAGAGCAGAGTTTGCATGCCAAGCAAAAGCTATGTGAAAATACATTTTTAAACATGACAGTTATTGAATGTATTAGACAAACGCCTTACAAAATATTTTGGGCACTGCACAATTGCATGATAAAATGAAAAACAATCACCTCTAAAATATACAGCTAATAAAATAATGCAACTACAAAGTAAAGGCATTATCCAAAATGAAATCACAGAAACAAAAATAATAGACCTAACAATAAAATAATTGTTTTAAATTGATAAAATATATTTAAATATTAGGCTAATATTGTTCATGAGAGCCAGTTTGGTGGTGTAGTTAAGCCCCAAGGCTATAAACCAGGTGAATTCTAGTCCTGCCTTAGGCACAAAGCCAGCTGGGTAACCTTGGGCCAGTCACTCTCTCTCAGCCCCAGGAAGAAGCAGGCAATGTCAAACCACTTTTGAAATCTTGCCAAGAAAACTGCAGGGGCTTGCCCAAGCAGCTGCCAAGAGTCAAGAGTGACTTGAAGGCATACACACATACATACATGTACATGCACACACATATATCACCAAGGAAGGCAAAAAGAAAAAAACCCTCATATTTAAATATTTGTGTAAATATAGGGTAAACAGAAAGGTTTGCGGGTGCTGAAAAGATGTCAACATCAAGTGGTTTCCCTGAAAGAAAGTGTTCTACAGCCAAGTGGCCATCATTAAGAAAGCCCATTCTCTTGTAGCCCTCCCCACCTCAGAATAAGGGAGAACCTGTAGAAGGGCTTGAGTAGATAATCTTAGGATATGGGAAAGTATATATACAAAGAAGTGTTCCATCAAGAACCAAGATAGCAAGCCATACCAAGGTTTATGGACCAAAACCAACATTTTGAATTAGGTCTGGAAGCTTACTAAAAGCTAATGTATGTTCAAAATACCAGTGTAATACCATTACAATCCTTTGACCCATTTGAAACTCTCAGACCCATATTTTGCACTGAGGTTTTGGGTCTAGTCTCAGAGGCAGCCCTCTTGCAAGGCATTGCAGTTATTCGGCTTTCCAACTCTAGAAAGTATTGTGACTAGAATATCAATCAGAACTGCCCAAAAGGTACTTTATGCCACAGAGGCCATGACAGTGACGACTACAGGAGTATTACCAAGTATTAGCAATATCTTGGTTTTGTCTGAACCATTCTAAACTGAATGGTTTAGAAACTGAACCATTCCAAACGGAATGGTTTAGAAGCCATTACCATAGGCGAGTAGAATTCTCTCAAGAACAAAGGCACATAAAGCTGCAGATAGGAGAAGAAAATTGCATGTCATAAGCATGCTGTAAATTATTTCATGTAGCAATTCCTGATACATTTTAAACAGAAAATGGAATGTATGCATGCTAAAGTGAAGGCACATGGAATTGCCTTCTAAAAACATCCAGATTAGAATGGAACCCCTACAAAGTGATTGTGTGGTGACCTATCCAAGAAAGACAGCTGGTTCAATTATATCAAAGCTACTGAGAGGTCAAAGAAAATCAGCAAGATTACATTCAATGTATTGTCGAAGGCTTTCACGGCCGGCATACGATGGCTGGTGTGGGTCTTCCGGGCTGTGTGGCTGTGTTCTGGAAGTTTTGTTTCCTAACGTTTC